ATATATATATGAGGGCTAGGGGAGATCAGCAGTCTAAGCACCTGCCTAACAAGCGCAGGGACACAGGTTTGATTTCCCGGTACCGCAAGCCGTGCCAGCCACTGAAACTGGGCATGGTGGCACACGCCTGTAATACCAGCTCTGGAGGCTGAGACAGAAGGATCACTGTGAGTCTGAACTGAATAGTGAGACCCTATACTAAATAAGGATTAAAATTTTTTTTTAAGTGTTAAGGGGCAACTCACTTCAGTCCCCCATTAATCCCAGCACTCCAGAGGCTGAGGTGGCAAGATCACTGCAAATTTAAGGCTGGCCTGAAGCAAGACCTTATCTCTTCACACACACAAGTATTGGTAAAATAGGAAGGATCCTCAATAATTTGTTAAGTTTAGAATAGCTATTTAAGCTCAGTAGAATAAGTGCTTGCCTGCAAGCACAAGGTCCTGAGTTTGATCCCAGGTACCACCAAAAAAAAAAAAAAAAAAAAGAGTAGCTATCTAGTGGGGCTGGGGAGATAGCTCAGTGACATAAGCACCTGCTTGGCAAGCACAAGGTTCCAAGTTTAATCCCTGGTATTGCCAAAAAAATAAAATAGCTATCTAGATCATTTCACATATTAAGCAGTAGTTTTGTCTCAGTCTCAACAGTCCTCAGAATCTGGGCATGGTGGCGTATGCTTTGTAATCCCAGCACTAGGGATGCAGAAATCAGGAGGATCACTACAAGTCCAAGCTGTGTAGTGAGACTCTGTCCTGTATACACACACACACACACACACACACACACCTTAAATAGCTTTTTTCCCATGACTCTTAGGCCTTGAACTTGATCCTTCTACCTCTTCTGAAGTGCTAGGATTAAAGGTGTATACCACCATACTTGGCTTAATGTATTCTCTTTTTTTGGCTGCCTCTGTCATGATCTGAATTAAATAACACAACTGCTTGTCCTAGGCACAGGTTACCACTAAATAGGTTATCATTAGGCGTGTAAGCTACTAAGCTGGGGATGCAGTTCGGTGGCAGTGTTTGCCTAGCATGCATGAGGCCCTTGGTTCACTCACTGGTGCCAAACCAAAGAGAGGCATTAATTAGTATTGTTAAGAAAGCAGTAATGAAAAAAAAAAAAAAAAAGTGGGGGCCGGGGAGATGGCTCAGTGGAATAAGCACTTAAAGGGCCTGAGTTCAATCCCCAGTTCCACCAAAAAAAAAAGGCAGTAATGATGCAAACATCACTCCTTTACCCACAAAGATCACCTTGAGACTGTTTCTCCATTTCACCCGCCTGAGACGTGGGAGCATCAGCCTGCTCCAGGTTTTTGGGAAGCATAGCCCTTTAAAAAGAGAGAGCCATTTTCCATCTGTTCCTGGGTGAGCACAATTTGAATTTTTTAAGTGAGATTTTCCCTGAGCCCTCCCCACCACTCCTCAGCCAGTATTAGGGAGGCCTTGGGTGGCAGCCAAAACTGACTTATATGTTGAGAGCTCTTCTGCAAGACTGATCCTTAGCTGCTCCATGTCTTTGTTCTTCTGTTGCTGGAGTTGCACCCCACTTCGTAACTGTCTCTTTCGTTCTTCCATTTCTTCCTGCTGTTCCTGAATGAGATGGCCAAGAACATTTCTGATGAGCCAAATAATATTTTAAAGGCCTGACATTGTCTATAATAGTTTGTAAAGCACTTCTTTGTGTATTGTTTAATTATGATATTGAGAGACTGGTATAAGACAGGTTAGGAAACTAAAGATGAAAGTGACATTGCTTGTAGAAATGGTGACCCAAGGGGCTGGGGAGATGGCTCAGTGGAATAAGGGCTTCCCTGGCAAGCACAAGGACCTGAGTTCAATCCCTGGTTCCACCAAAAAAAAAAAAAGAAATGGTGACCCAGCCAGCATGTGGGAAGGCATAAGATTTTTTAAGTTTATCCAAAGAAAATCATGTTTCAAGAGACAAAATTTCCCACACAGACATTTCCTCCGAGTGTCCAGCAACATCAAACTTAGCACTTCTGAAGTGTGTTGGACAGTAGAGATAAGTAAAACACAGCTTCTACCTTCTGAGAGCCCAGTCTGACAAAGAGACATAACTGTTTATTGACTGAATATTTATATCTCAGTCTGATTTTAAAAAGGATTAGAGCTGGCTCACATGTACTCAAAATAACTGAAATACAAGGCAGATGATATGCACAAAAAAAGGAAAACAAAAAATAGAAATTTACAGATTTCATCTCCGCCCAAAGACTGGTCAACCTTATTTAGCATGGGGATTGAATGAGTGAACCTTGAAGGGGAATATGAGGTGGAGGAAAGGGAATGAACTCATTCCACCTGGCCTTTTTTTGTGGGTGTTTTGTTTTGGTTTTTTTGAGAGTCTTCCTGTGTAGCACAGGCTGGCCTTAAACTCCTGGGTCTCCTGCTTCAGCTTCCTGAGGGATTACAGGCAGGCACCACCACACATAGTTCCACTTGGCCTATTCCTCTGTTGTTTTCTATATACTAAGATATGATTCACTATCCAATTAAAACGTGTCCGGCGTGGTAGTACACACCTGTGACCCCCAGCACTTGGGAGGCTGAAGGAGGATTGCCATGAGTTCAAGGCAGCCTTAAGGCCCTGTCTCAGAAAAAGGGAGGGGCCAGGGAGATGGCTCAGTGGAGTAAGCATTTCCCTGGCAAGCTCAAGGGCCTGAGTTCAATCCCCTGTTCCGCCAAAAAAAGGAAAATGATGTGAAAGGAGCACTGAAATACTTAGGGTTGGGTAAACTACAGTTTAGCTTACTCAGCTGAATCTGTTTCCTCACCTATCAAATAGTAGCACATACTTGTAATTACAGCACTCTGGCCCGTTCCAGAGGATAAGGCAAGGGTTCTGCAAGTTTGAACCCAGCCTAGGCAGTTTAGTGACTTAAGACCTGTCCCTCCCACACCTACCCTCAAAAAAGCTGAATGCAGGGGCCGGGGAGATGGCTCAATGGAATAAGCACTTCCCTGGCAAGCGCAAGGGCCTGAGTTCAATCCCTGGTTCCACAAAAAAAAAAAAAAAAAAAAAAAGCTGAATGCAGTAAATGCAAATAACTTCACTTCTAACACAAGCCTGACTAAATGAAGACTGGAGGAAAGGAGTAAATGGCCCCAGAAAGTGAGTTATTCTTCCTATACAGAACAGTATGCTTCAGCCCAGATGTTCTCACCACACTTCTTCCCTGGGTTAAAAGACCACTCTTTGGGCTGGGGAGATACCTCAACAGTCTAAGCGCCTGCCTGGCAAGCATAAGCTTCCAAGTTCGATTCCCAGTGGCACATGCCTGTAATCCCAGTGCTGGGGAGGCTGAGGCACTGAGGCAGGGGGATCACTATAAGTCTGAACTACAAAGCAAGACCCTGTGTCAACAACATTCCTTTCATAGCCAGTGGGCCTACCCTGTACTGTTGCACCTCTTCATCTCTTTTTTGCCTCACAAGTGTGATCTGGTCCTCCAGGTTCCTCCTTTGCAGGTGCAGCTGTCGGACCTCTGCTTGTAGGGGTCTCAGAGCCTCCTTCATCTCCTGGATCTCAGCCTGAGTTTTCTGCAGAGCTTTGGTCCCTGCTTCTTTCCTCTCAAGGAGCCGCAGTAGCTGAGGTTCATATTCCGCCTCGAGACCCTGGCGGCTCTCTGCCATGAGATGTTCAAACTGGGCAGATAACTGCCGGCTCTCCTGCAGAAAGTGCCCATCCCTCTGGCTTGGGGGTGCTTCTAGTTGTTGCCTCAGCTGTTCCTTCTGCTTCTGGTAGGCATCCCGGAGTTGGGCCAGTTCCTCAGATAGCTGGGCTGCCTTTGTGGTCAGCACTTCCCGGAAATCAGCGAACTGAGCCACGTCCTGCTGGCGGCACTCCAACTGGTACTGGCAGGCCACACATTCCTTGGTCACCTTGAACAGCTTCTGCTTGACCAGCCTGATCTCCTCCCGCAGCCCATCTCTCTCCAGCTCTGCCTGTGCATGCAGCTTGTAAGCAGCCAGGATGTCCTGGTGGACTTGCTGCACTTCCTGCAGGGCTGGTTCTCGGAGCAGCACCAGCTCATGGATGAGCTGATCCCGCTCCTCTTCCAGCTGGGCCACTGCTTGCACACACTGCTGGAAACGGCCCTCTAGCAGTTCCAGGTCCTCCATACTCAGGTTCTCCTCTGTGCTGGGACTCGGCTCAGTTTTGAGACTCTCCTCAGGGTTGGATTTTTCCTCCCTTGCAACCATCTCTCCCTCACACACAATCTGCTCTGGACACGGGCTCTTTGTTGCATCCACATGTGGCTTCACAGTCTCAGACTGTGACTCCCCTGGATTCACAGGCTCTTCCACAGACAGTGTTTCCTCAGGCTGCCCAGTCTCCTCAATATACAATAACTCCTCTGGCTTCTCAGTCTCTTCCATATAAAGTATCTCTTCAAAGTCATCTGTATCCCCAAGGTAGAGAATATCTTCTAGGTTCACAGTTCCCTCCACAGATAGAGTAACTTCTGGGTGCAAGGGCTCAGTCTTACTCAGGGATTCAGAATTCTCTTGAGAAGTATCTTCTGTTATTTCCCTGCAAGAAAAAATGATTTTTTGTTTTTGTTTGCTTGTTTTTTTGGTGGTACCAGGGATCAAACTCAGGATCTTGTGTTTGCCAGGCAAGCATTTACTCCACTGAGCTATTTCCCTGGCCTTTTTTTTTTTTTTGTATTGGCAGTCAAACTCAGGACCTTGCACTTGTGGGGCAGCCCCTGTGCCGCTGAGCTAAATTGCCACCCAAGAAAAAATGATTTAAAGTGAAAAAAATTGGGACTAGGGATGTATGTAAAAACTCAGTAGTAGACCACTTGCCTGGTATGTGGGGGGCCATTGGTTCAATCTTTGTTACCAGAAAAAGGAGGAGAAAGAAGATGGACAGAGAGGAGGGGAGGACACAAAAGGAGAAGGTTCTCATATCTCCTGAGTATCCCCCTCCCACATTCAGGCCTTTGTTTTGCACCTTGACTATACTCCCACATCACAAGTCTCTGCTTACCTAACTACAAGGACAGTCACTGTTAGTAAAATTTTAATTTTTTTTTAAATGGTAAACCCATATTTACTAGCACTATTAAAACATTACACAAAACACATTCAAGTGGCAAGTAATTACAATGCAAGACCTTTCATGGCAATCCAGATTTACTGAACTACTGATGCTAAGTTATACAAAATTGCACCACTTTCATTAAGGCTTTTAGTTGACATTTGGCCTCAAAGTAGTTGTAACATTAGGTTGGTCAATTTAAATCCTGTGGCTCCCTGTTGGATAAACACACAATCTTTACACACAAACATTAATGCATACAAAGCAACAAGGCATTGTTAAACAGCAATAGTTGCTGCAAATGAGGCCTTGTGACCAATTACAAGTGATTAAAATTACTTACCACATTCACATGCACAGTACTCATCCACCATTTAACATCTCAACCAAAACGTTACACGTGTGAAACAACCACTAACAGGCAAAAATACTAAACCTGTGTATTTGGTATTGCAAATACACTTATGCATGAGCAAGCAAGGGATTCACAGTGAGAATCTACAGCTGCAGAAGCCTGAAAATGATTAACAAAAATTGTTAAATCATTAAAAAATTGTTTGAAAATATACAATCTTGTAGATCCCCACTGTACACACAACTGTAAACATTGTTCCCTATGTAAACAAAAAAAGGACATATATAATAAGGAAATTTGAAAAGTCTGGACGTTTCCTTCCCAAGAGATACTAAGGCAACATCTTTAAGACATACTGAAAGGACTATCATATTTTATTTTATTTATTTATTTTTGGCAGAGCCAGGGATTGAACTCAGGCCCTTGTGCTTGCCAGGCAAGCACTTACTCTACTGAGCTATTTCCCTGGCCCCAGAGTATCATATTTTAAAGACAAGATCACTGTCTCCACAGGTTTTTGAAAAATTAAACTACATAGCTGTGGGGGCTGGGGAAGTGGCTCAGTAGAATAAGCGCTTCCCTGGAAAGCACAAGGGCCTGAGTTCAATCGCTGGTTCCACCAAAACATAAAAAATAAATAATAAATAAATGCCACTAAAAAAAAAAATAAACTAGCTGTGTTAATCAAAGTGGTTATTTTGTATAATACAATGATAATGACCTTGATTTTTAAAAAATTACAATAAGTTACAAGTATCAAAGAAGCCAAGTTATCTGGAGTAGTCTATATAGGAGCTCTTTGGACTTTATTATGGTAAAATAGTGGTGCTTTTGGGATTTACATTATTGTACTCTCCAATACAAAGTATGGGGTGTGTAGTACACCATGTTCACACATGTACAACACTGATGGATGAAGAAATGTCTCTTAGTAATATTGAATGTAGCCTCTGGTTTTACCAGCCAAATACTCTAGGACTATTATTTTTTTTT